AAACTCAAATTACAATTGAACTCGTTAACCTATTTTTTGGCGGACTCGAAAATATCAAACTTGATACGAGGAAATTACAATAAATCATGGAAACAAGTTTCTTCCATTCACAAAATTTAGTATACCGAAAGAAGATACCAGAACTGTACAACGTTTATATTATAATCTAATTAACATTTGCATTTCCTCTCTAGAAAGTAAGTAGATTAAAATCCGAAATAGAAGAGCATGTACAATGAAACTCGTAGCGAAACGTATGCATGATACAATTCTTGAAATATTTCACTTGCATACGCGTGCACATTCCGCACACGTTTAGCATTTTTCATACCGGCACACGCAATGAATGCATAATATTATAAATGCATGAACGATGTTATCACGATCTCCACGTGACACGGTAAACCAGATTCGCGCAGGTCGAAAACCAAAACATCCGCGTTCCCTGAATCCTGAAATCGTATCGTTAGCAAAGTAAAAAATTCATACCACGAGATACCTCGATTCTGGAATCTCGAAGCTGAAAGTACGCATTTCTGAAAGAAAGAAACCGAGTCGAAAATGTAAATTTTCAATTTCAAACCCATCAGAGAGTCGAGCAGTTCCAGGCCCACCGGGTAAAGGGAGGGATGATGGATAGGCGAGGGAGAGAAAATTTCCTTCTCGGCCTCGTTTGACGAGTCCAACCGAGACCGCGGTTGGTTGAAATGGAAACAGACGTTCGTGGTCAGACGATCGGACCAGAAGAGGGATAATCAGAGATCCGAATCCAAGGGTCCGTAATCAAGGAAGAAAAAGGAACTCGCGACGAGATAAAGATCCACGAGCGGGGGTGGGTGGCGAAAGGGTTAGAGGGAAACGGACGGATGGCAGGAACGGAAAGGTGAGGGAGGAGGACGTGGGGGTAAGAACGGAGAAACTAGGACGAAAGGTGCGAGCCCAGGATGACGGTGCACTAGCTGGGGCCACTGACATGAGACCGTCCACTTCTATCGAGGGGTGTACGGCCATTGAATCCGTTGGATTTTCACCACCCGCCCTCTAACCCACCCACTGCAACCTACTTTGCCACCTACTTCGTTCGTTCCCCCCTCGAGCAGCCCTGTCAAGTGGCCGTCTTATTTCGACAACCTCTATCCGACGAGGCTCTCGAAGCGAGCAACGATTTAAACTCGTCGCGAATCCTTGTTGCTCCTTCGATGCCTTCTGAAGGAATAGCGAAATAAGGGTATGATTTGCGTACTCCCCGAACTGGGCGTATCGCGTCGAATTACGACGAGTATAATAACGGTAAAATATTGGTATTTTTAGGTAGTTATTCTACTACCTTTTTCGCAACCGATAGATATTATTGCCGCTAGCTATAATTCCAGTGTTTACAGAATGGACGGAGAGTCGTAATTCGTGCAGAGAATTTCAGGAACAGGTAGCGGAATAGAATCGCGGCGGTTGCAAACGCGACGCAAAGTCTATAGTCGCGATCTCTTTTTCGCTCTGGCCCCCTTTTTTCTCTCCTTTTAACTGCTGCTTTTTCGAAGACATTCAGAAAATTTGCGCTCGCGCGTCCTTGCTCCACTTGAAGCACACGATACGGTGCTTCGTCGGATTGTAAACTTCCGAGGGACTCCGTCGTGGGATTAACGACTAAGGCTGCGCTCGGGCTTGTTTGCCCTTTTAATTCTTCGACAAATTCTGTGGAAGCGAAGGAAGAACTTGGAATGAAAATTTTAATTGCTTCCCTTGGGTGTTACCGATGAAAGTTGATACTAATTTTCCTGGTCGATGAATATTTCACACCTCGATGGTCTTTTGCACTATTTTGAAAGTACAACGTTATGTAAATATGGTAAAATAGCGGGTCAAGGCCATCGGATCGTGATGATTTGAAACGGCTGACTGAAATCGCCTCGTACTACTTCGCGTACCGTCTGTGGCACCCGACAGAGTCATACTACTCGATCAAGCGTACAGGATCGCCTTATTCTACCTGTCGGATCGTACATCTATTCTACCACCCTAACCCCGAACAAACAGTCCCCCATGGATAGGCATGTTCCGCTTGTCAGTTACTGTACGGCCCTATTCATGTCTGTCCACAGACTGTCATGTTCTACTTGTCCGTGAATGCGCCATTCCGTTCTACTTGCTTAGCCATGTACAATAGTTATTATGTGACAAAAAATAAATACTAACGTAAATAAATCGCCTAAAATGCACGAGTTTCGTGTATCAAAAGATTCGTCGTTCCCGTACGACGTAAATTCCTAAAAGAGCAACGATCAAGAAGCGAAACGCGAAACGAATTGCTTGAGCGGATAGATATGTAATTTCAGTGTTCCGTAAACTTTCCAACGAGGCAGATTTTAAAGGAAGACTCTTGCAACCGCCAGCAACAATTTCCGTAGCAAGTTGAAGGCTTGGTTTCGCTCCGCCCACGCGAAGTATTCTACCTAATTGCGCTATTGTCGATAACAGCAGCCGCTTCCTGTGTTTCTTCGTGCTCTCTTTCTATGATTGCATTCCCGTTCCATTAAAAAGGACGACGTGCGGTCGGGGCTACATTGTCAGTAGCGCTCGCTTAATCGAGCTTCCAAGGTAAAATATTTTTAACGTACCGAGGGAAGAATTTCAAGCAATCTTCTTTTCGTTCGCCATGGAAGAATGCAAGATACCCGTGTTAAACCTGCCACTTTGAATGACGCCTCCGCGCGAACGCGTTCTACGTTATTCTACGCAGTTCAGCGTGCATTTCGAGCAAACTGATGGAAAAAATTCTCATCTCTCGGGTCGACAAAGTGCGTTGAAAAATTCAGTAAGTATTTCATCCACGCCCGTGGCAGACAAAATTAGCTTCTTTACATTTTCAAATATTGTGATAAACGAAGTGGTTCCACCGTCTTTTGCGACGTCTGACAACATTTTTATTGAATTTAATCGAAACGAGATTGAGAACTTTTGAAGAGTAGAACACGCGACATACTTTGTTAAGATATCCGATAGCGAATAGCGAGAATTCTCGCGTACTTCCTGTATGGGATGTCTTTGGTTCACACCCTCTGACCTTTCATAAGCAATTATTCGCCCTGTCTGAAACATTGAAAGCTATACTGCTGACTATTCGAGAGAACGAACTGGTATGGCTCTTGACTTCTGTCTTGTTAACATCGAGCAATATCTTGCCGAGAAAATGGTTCCTCGAGGAACTCGTGTTTGTCCGTTGCACGAATTTTAATGTTGACGATAACTCAAACCAATAAAGACTCGCTAGGAGAGTATAGTATATAATAAAAACTGTTTGCGAATGTAACGTGGGTGAATCCTACTGGGCAATCTCCGTGTCGCGATAACGTAAGTGTAGTTAAAACTTCTCGAATCGTTCATTTCAACTTTAATTTAAATTTCGGTAGATTTTCCAAACATGACCCACATTTTCCTCTAAAAACGGTATCGACAGTTTCCACACTCATAGGATAAAATAGATTCGGGATGAAGCGATTAAAATCGAAAAACGAAATGTTTCCATTTTTCTCGTCAGAGATTGCTTTGTTTTTTATACAGTGCAACAGCCATTATTCAAACGAATGGAGAGATATGGTCGTTTGAATAGAGGATTTTTTTAACAATCGAACGTCATATACTTTCCACGGTCAAACACCGCGATTAATTTTAACCTAATTTACTTGCATCGTTTAAATCTCATAAGTTTATCCTGTGTAATCACCAATAAAGTTTGCCTGGACTTGCATTCTCCCCTCAGAAGAGACATCCGATTGCAAACGGTTAATTTTACATTTCGTGCTCATAGTCGACGTGTCCGGGGTATCGAAACTCTCCCTAGGATTCACGAGTAGATATCCGAAACAATTAAGACGTCAGGCGGATCGAGATAGGTCGCGTCTGAGCTCGCTTGGTATCGAGGGACGTCGCTCGATATCGATTGCCGACGATGAACACGGAGATTATGCCCAGACGCTAATTCCCGTTCGAGATCGACGAGTTCGCGAACGATCCTTCGTGTCGGCCAGCTCGGATCCTCCTAGAGGAGTCGGTGGCTTTAAAGTCAGCCGCAGCTGCACCAGGTCGACCGATAACGCGAAACTCGGCCACTGGGTCAACGACAGATGAAACTGGTGCACTTGCACCGGGGACACACCTCCTTTCCACGGGAACGAACTACTTTTCCCTCTTCTCGTCCACCCCCTAGGCTCTCCGCTCCATGTTTGTCTCTTCTATCGCTTCCTTTTCCAACGGATTTTCTAACCAATTACTTTTTCCGCTCCTTTTTTTTTCTGGTTCGCGTCGACGTCGAGTCATTCGTGCTCATAATACATTGTAATACACAGGGTGGTCCACGCAATGGAAACCACCTCCGCAACCCCGTAAATATCGATTCCGGCTGGAATTGGTTCAGACGAGTGCACGACCGACATGTTCGTATAATCCAAATTTTTGTTTGGCTTGTACTTTCCAAGATTTCTAGGTTGTCTTCGTAAAAGTTTTTAGCGGCGATTGATATTCTTCGTTCTTGGCGTTTGTTTCGATACTCTTACGTTGTATCGTTTAGATATTTTTCCGTTTCTCGCCGAAGACGACCCAAAAATTGAGGTCAAAGGAAACTGAGGTCGATTCGAAACGAATCGAACCACATTCAAAGAAGATAGATTGCTCTTTATTGCGAATTAGTTTTTGAATACCGAATTGCTCAAAGGGAACAATGGTTCGTCCAATGAATTGCCTATAGTTTATAACATGTCAAGGTCAACTTTCGGTTCTTAAACGGAAATCGATTTCTTTTGTGCGGATACTCGTCTCGTCTCTTGTGCTTATACTGTACAGGGTGGCCAATGAAATTAGAACTATTCTCCAAACTACCTTCGATTAACTGACTGGTCACCGTGGAAAAACAGCATTGTTTTCGCCGAGGACCGCGCATAGACGCGATACTTGGCGTGTACGAGTCGCGGTGGGAAAACAGTGTCCGATAATCCTCTGTGTTGCAGACGAGCGAGACAAAGAGAAGCCGATCAAACTGGCGCCGTTCAAGTTCCCGTTCTCGAAGATGTCGAAGTCGCGCAGCAGGGACGAGAAGGACAGAGAGAAAGACAAAGAGACCGCGGAGCAAACCGCGGATGGCGAAACGAGGGACACCATCGAGGAAAATGAGGAGGGAGACGGAAAGGAGGCCACGAAGGACGGGAACAATGGAAGAAACGTGAACGACGACGTGGAGGACAACGCGAGGGGGCCGTATGTTCAACTACCGGTGAACCAATCGCAATTGACCACCGAGCCAGGATCCAATTTAAGGTCACCAGTGTTTGCTTCCAACAGCTTGATGGTGAGGAGCGAGCCATCCATTCGAAGCTCTCCTCCTCCATCGTATCAACACGTTATCGAACAGGTGAATATCTGGGTTATCGTGGCGAAGCGAAGAAACAACTCGTTTCATGGATTTATCGAATCCTTCGAGACGAACCAGTCCGACGCTCGATCCTTTTACAGTAGCGATTTAATTATCTGGTTGATCGATGTTTTCAAACGTCTTCTAATGAAAATATTCAATTAATTATTCCAATGCATTTTTTTTAGTAGCAGTAAAGGTACTATTCACCTTCGATATGTAAATTCCTTCTGCTACAGTCGTGTCAATTTGATTGAACAAACAAATTTATCCAGGGATTATGGAAAGTCAATTATTCTATTCTGATTGTATCGTGGGAGACCTTGAGTGACCAATTTTTTTTTTTTTTTACTATACAATTATTTTATTCTAGTATAAGGCTAGAGAAATGTAATCGTAAAAACGAAACCTGAGTATTTAGAGTTTGTACCATGATCTCTTATCGTTTCAGAGACGTTTGGAGCACGTGGCCGAGGCGCAGGAGAATCAGAACGCGAGTCAAGCGTCCGGACAGGACGACAGGAGAAGAGCACCGAAGATACTTCATAAATCGAGCAAGCAATTTTACAGAGCGATGGCCAAACAGTGGGGCATCACTTGCAAAATGAGCGATCACTGCAGATGCTTGGATTGTCAGGTAAGCTCTCGAACGTTTATGAATGTAATTTTCGTTAGACTATATTTTCGTCGTTACAGTTGTCGAATATTTAATATAAAATTGTACCGCTTCGTAGAGCCGCTATTTCGACTGCGAGTACGAGACGAACGAGAACCAGAAAACTGACGGCGGTCTTGGCGCCGGGACGCCGATGTTCATATCCGAGGTGATACACGGTTCCGCCTGCGTGCTTCTATAAAACACCGGAAATAAGCACGCGACAACAACAGGATGGTCTTTGCGACTCGCAGATGCTTTCGCAAGGATGAGACGTTCACGTGATCACGCACAAATCCAGCTGACTGTTTCCCGATGGACCAGAATGAACACGATGACCTCTTAACCGCGGTCCTGATGCTTTGCAACGGAACGAACGGCCAGCTGATTCTTCCCGAATCATCGCAGAATGCTTAGAGCTAATTTCGTATATTCAGAGCATACGCAAAATATTTGTCGTGAATTTTGCACTTGGGGACGGTTTGGTCGATGTCTGAAGTCCAGACGAGCTCGTGACTATTTTGGTAGTAAAAGAAAGAATCTCCTGTTTTTATTACGAAAGATATCATTGATTAATTCGAATAATCGCTTAACAATTACTTAGACCAAAATTGGTTTGCAGCCCCCAAATTTAAATTCACGAAGAATCTGGGACTAAGAGAATTGTACGAATACCGAGATCAACGCACACGAAGGTGAGTCTCCGTTCGAACGATCCCAACAGCCGCTAATATCGAAACGACCGTCGATGAAATTTGTATAACGACGTTCGATGGCCACCGTCTCGATGTAACAATCAATTTTAGGAGGTTTTAGAAGCCCAAAGGACAGGTTTTAACCTGTCAATTGCATTTTATTAGTCGTATTCTCAACCTCGTGATAGATTTGTGCAATCCGAGCATCGTTGGCGCTTAGATTGCGCAAAATTTGTTGCTCCTTCGAACCAAATATCGAGAGTCTATTATCAGTTGAGTGTTAACAGAACCATGTTGTCCATAGACGAAATAATTTCCCCAGACATTGATTAACGAAGTTGAATGTTTCATTGGTATTACTTTTTTTGTAATGGTTTCTGATGCCAAAGAATGCAATTTTCAATCGGTGCGAAGTTTCTTCTCGTATCTGGGGAAATTACGAAAACTAAAGAGTAGCATAAGTGTTAGAGGTGTTGTAACACAGTGTATAAATAATCGGCATAATCATCTCGAAATCTCGATACTCTTGTAAATGACTACTTTTTAATCTGTTGGGTCGACTTCTCTCGAAGCTTCTACCCCGAGGAATTACGTCGCATATTTATTGTCTGAAGAAGAATACTATAATTATTTGATAAACATTCACATTTTCTTTTTCACACATTAAATGACACTTTGTAAGGAACACTCCCACTGCTGTCATTTTTGTACCGTTCAAACGTAACACTTTATCGTTACTGTCGCACTAAGAAATATACGATTTGTCTACGATTCTTTAACAACGATAAACAGGCCTACTGTAAGACAACTTTGCTATATCTAGACTGCATTCCTAAGCAACGATATATTTTAACGTTTGTAACATACGCAAATTTACGAATCAAATTTAACCGTAAATAGTTACACTTTAAAAGACAACTACATCTTTTTTTAACTATCTGTCACATGCTAGACTCACAAATGGAACACTGAAAGAAGATAATATATGGATCATATTATTAACGACACTATTACTTTATAATTATATTACTATTTACACTTTCACTGTCACTGTTATTAAGAGAGAAATATTCTACGCAAGAATAACATCGGTTTCTTCCGGTATCATTTTGTATTTCCACCTTCGGTACCGGATAGAACAAGCAGAGTAATTTAGAAAGAACACGTGGAGGATTGATTACGTGATCTGATTCCTCGAGGTGGAAATTAAAGGCATTCGATCGAGCGACCCCTTTGATTTCTTCGTGCGACAGAAGCACGTAGATAGATGTGTAATTAACGATTGTAAACTACTGATTCCCGGCGGAACGTGTCCGAGGAAATCGAAACTCGAAACACATGAAAGTATTATAGATCGTGCGTCGATTACGCGTATTCGATGGACTCGCGTCTGGCAATACGCGATCATTCGGTTTGCAATTTATTTTCCTGTAAAACAATTACTTTCATTCTCTCAATTAACCATTTTAAACGATGATCGAACCATAGTTTGCTTGACTAAATATATTCAACATCGTTACAGTCTTCGCAAACTGTCGAGACTATAACTGTATTGAATATAATTAATTACTTTTCTTCAAATTCTGTCTGATACTCGATTTATTTACGCTTCGACGAATAGACGGTAGTCGGAATACCGTAAATACTAATTAGTACTTTATTCGTATAGCTTTGGTATTCCACAGTTACTTCATTTTCAGTGTCGTGGTTTATCAATCAAGTGTAAAGCCTTTTCGTTTGCAATATTGCTAGAAGAATAATTTGAGTAAACTCACTTGTCGTAGCGAGCTGATTTATTATTTAAAACTGTTACACTGACGTAGCTGACCCTACAGATTTATTACTCCGGTGTGATTTATTAGCGCGATTTCTCACGATGGACATACTCGAAGAAAGTACTATACTCCTAACGCTAATGCAACACAACGAGTGTTATATATCTACGAAGAACTTTCTGCTTCGACGACGCGTTTCCCTAAAACATAACCGCGCTCGAAGTGAACCGCGATCGAGACCACTTCGCACTTCAAGGTTTCCATGGTTTGCGATCGTTGCGACGTCGAATAATTCAGTACCGAGACGCTAGATAAAGGTGAGGGTGAGAGGAGAGTAAAATATGGTCTAGTCGAAAAAAAAAAAACGTGCGATCCGATCGTTCGTAACGGACGTCGATCGACTAAAAGCGAAACATAATACAGTACCTGCCTATTCTTGTCTTTTCAAGATACTGTTCTTTTGTACCTCGCGCCGAAAAAAAAGAAGAAAAAAAAAACACGAACAATATATTTCACGTGCGCATAAAATAGCCAACCCCTGTCAACGGCCCCTCGACGCTCCATACCGTTGCCAAATATCAGGTTTTTTTTATCGATGAGAAGGCCATCCTTTTGTACGATACGAGATCCTTTTTCCTACTGGCGCGAAGAGCTATTGGCGTGGCTCGAGGAGTTTCGTTTCGCGTGATTTCGTTTCTTTTCATATTTTCCAAGATACTCCAAGAAACTCCAACATAAATCGCACCTGATATTTTCGATTAACGATAATTTAATAATCGATAAAGAACAGTTGTAACGATACAAAATTCTCACAGCGAAACGAAAGCCATCCTCAACGACGCGAATGCCTAATCGCCGATCGTATAACATAATTTTACTAACGCCACCAGTCATTTTTACTTTTACACCCGGTACACGGTGCACGCGTTCCATTTACAATTAATCGAGTCCTTGGATGCTTGCGTATGTGTGTGCGTGAAAAAGACGAATTAGAAACTAAGGAAGGAGTACAGAGAGAAAGCGAGTGTGTGAGAGAGAGTGAGGCAGGGAGGGAGAGTAATTCTGTCACTTTGAAAGAGAAAAATGGGTATGCGTGTAGCTAGAGGAAGACACACCAGAAAATGCGTGAATAGTATTTTTTTGGGCCACGGATTTATTTATTAATATCGTCGTCGGACTGCTGGGTGATGGGAAGCGAACAAAATTATGATCGTCATCATCGTCGCCGATGTATAACCTACGCGATACACTTAATATAATAATTATTGTAACAATTATAAAAATTATTGGAATATTAATACCGTACAGTGCATGTCGACGTGATGATTGTATTCGATTAACGATTTCGGTGTGTGCTAATTATTACTGTAAAACGTGCAATTATGAAACTGGGTGCAATTAGAAGATGAACATACAGGGAACGAAAAGAATCGGATACTGTTCGAAAAATGAAGCTAGCCTCTTGAATCTGACGATGAAATTAATGAGGAATCCAGCCATATTTTGAGACTTCTGAAACAACCGTAGACTTTAACGACTAAGATTAAAAATAAATAAATAAAGCCGAGGTAGGAGGCGATGGTAGAGAATCTCTATAAAAAGAAACAAAAAAAAAAAAAAGAGCACAAGAAAAAATATATTGTCTTTCGCTGTTATATAATGTCAATTTATTCGTGTCAAGGCACGATCATGTGAGCGAAAACTAATTAAACGTCGTCGAGAAATTCTATACAATTAGCGTGTAAGCCGCAGTTTCGGGGCTAGGCGTCCATATTTATTACGATTTTTCTATTTCAGAGTGTTTGAATATATTACGATGTTTGTTTCGTTCGCGAAACGGCGTGGAAATGTAAAATGACAATTTTGCTTTTCTCGAGGATCGATCAAGGACGAAACAAAAAGTGTACGCTTTTGTAACTTGACGAACACGCTCGCTGACTTGTACGCGCGTGTATTCCGTGGCATTTACTCCGCGTATATACGATACATAGAAAACGAACGATCGTCCAGCAAACGTCGTTCCATATATAGAGAATGTTGACTGTAAATCTCGATGTATCCTGGTCGCGTATGTACGTTACATAGAAAACGAACGATCGTCCAGCAAACGTCGCGCGTCGTTCCATATATAAAGAGTGTTGACTGTAAAACTCGATGTATTCTGGTAAAACAGCACCAATAAATACAGGCCTAAGGGACTGCTAAACTCTTTTCTATAGTCACTACAAAATGTTGGTTGTTTGACTTTTTTAATACTCTTTTTTTTACTCTCAACCGCATTCGATCTAAATTGCACCGCCTTCGCGCCTGAAGGGATGCGACACGTTAGAAGAACAAGCGCGTGGTTGCCTATACCCAGGGATCTCTGTGAGATTGCTATGACAGAGGTCAGCATAGTACCCATACTTTAGAACTATAATCTCCAAAACAAAATTTGTATAAAAATAAAAACAGCGATCTTCGTGAGATACTGTTTACATTTAAAAATAACAAAAGCATTATTGATCGGTGAAATTTTTAAGTCTCGTTACACAAATCTCTCTCCGACATCCACTTTCAATACTTCCCTGATAATAATTATTAAGAGCTCGAAGATAAGATCGTTTGAAAAATAGTTTCCAACGATCAAGCGACTGTTCAAACACTCCATTGGAATTTTTTTTTGAATAATTTCCAACGCAATGCGCAATAGTCAATCGCGATAAGCTTCACGGTTCATTGATGTAACATATCATTACGAATTAAAGCTTTGGGTCTAGTACGAGTGGAGCATTCATTAAATTAGTCGTGGTCTGAAATAGTGTTAACTCGACTACGGGTCTTGTTTTACGACTCGAAGACACGCATGACAGCGCTCGCGCAGCGTGAGCGCTGAATGATCGCACGATTATAGCTACAACCTTGCTCCTTCCAACAATTTGTACCGTTGAAACTGACGTAAGCTGACTGCAACAATTCCTAGCGCGTCGATGCGAGGCCTCGACCTTCTACACGTGAAATGTTATTTTTAAACGAAGAAAAAGAAACGTCCGCTAACGGTTTGTAATGCACAATTAATTTCGGTTACGAACAGAGTGGATCACATTTGCAACCACAGCCGCAGCCCCCGAGGACCCTTTTATGAATTAAACATACCAACAATGAAACAAATTTCTTTGCAGTTCTATGCACAGCGTTGGAAACTCTACGTAGAAGATGCGGAACATCCTGGATCCTCCGAAGAAATCGAAAATCTAGCGATAAATCGCGTTTACGATTTCACGGCTGATACAGCGACTGCTATCGCGTCCGTCCTTGGTGTGACGGTGCAACATCATCCTCGCATG